ATAAAAAAAAAAAAAAGAACATCTGTACAAAGGAATGAATGTAAAGAATGATTGTGCCCAATTTTAATGAGTCCGATAAAAACCCATTTTGTGAATCTGTGCTGGATTACTAAAATATCTCTCAGGTTTATTTATTTTAAAAATTATACTTTTAATTATAGAATATTGTTAGAATAATACAGATATTATAGACACTAGGATAACTGACCAATACCATAAGGAAAACTGTTCGACGTACTCTTGTTCATTTATAAAAAAAAAAAAAAGAACATCTGTACAAAGGAATGAATGTAAAGAATGATTGTGCCCAATTTTAATGAGTCCGATAAAAACCCATTTTGTGAATCTGTGCTGGATTACTAAAATAATTCTCAGGTTTATTTATTTTAAAAATTATACTTTTAATTATAGAATATTGTTAGAATAATACAGATATTATAGACACTAGGATAACTGACCAATACCATAAGGAAAACTGTTCGACGTACTTACTTGTTCATTCACTCTCCACAACCATAGAAAACAGGCACAAAGTGTTCAGGGTATGTGCAGAAGCAGCCAGAATCTTGGGAGCAGAAAGCATGCAAAGAGAGTCTGATGTATAACTTCTACACAAAGTTCAAAATATGGGCAGCAATTGGTAGAAAAAGAGGAGAAAGAGCTGGTTTGGCCCTTGCCCTTTTAACTTCCCAGCTGGAGTGTACATGTTTGGAGAGATGGCTGGGGTACTTAGGAGCCAAAAGCAGCAACGGGCGCAGTTTCAGGTTGGGGCAGGAGAGAAGGGAAGAAAAAGGGAGTGAAATACAATTAGGTCAAGAAGATGCTGTCTTCTATGGCCACTCCAAAACTGAGGCCCTAATGGCTCACAGAAACAGGAAAACTTTGATATTCATTAAAACCATCAGCAACACTGGTATGGTAAAGACATATTCGAGTTTAGTCATTAAGAACATGTAAGTTATTCAACAATTAAAATATGAATACCCACAGTTGGCTAGATTTTGTATCGAACGAAAAACATGCTTCTTGCCCGAGTTTACATTTAAACAGGAGTGGCAACAGAAAGAAAGCTCCTTGGTGGAGTGGTTTTTCATTTTGTTACTTTCGAGGTTGTGTCGTTTGCAAGTGATGCAGTCCCACACAGCTGTGGGTATAATTCACTACAGTACCCGACCCTAGAGACCATGAGCTCTTTAACACCAAGTCCCAAAGAGCTATGGCAAAAGTAGTTTTCAAAATGTTACAACTTTCATAATAAAGCACAGTAGAAATAACTTGAGACACACTAAACAAAAATTTCCGTGAGTCCCATTTCCTGGGCATCCATTTTCTTCCACTCACACCCCTAAATACTTGGATAAGCACCAACATTTGGGATATTTCTTAATTCTTACTTGGACTGAGATAAGAAGAGCTGACACTACTGGGCTTACATTGGGTCAACTCTTAGTTTAACCATTTATATCTGTAGGCTGACAGGATGAAAATACATTCCTATAGGCTTATTAATTCCTTGTTACTAGCCCAAAGAGACGTTCACTCTGAGAACAGGACAATCAGTTATCTCCCACAATTGACTGATAAATATAAACAAGTGTGTAGTTCTGTACAAAGACAGATCTTACAAGAGTGCACATTAAAGCATTAGTGTTTAAATTTTTTTCATCATAAATGAAAAAAAACATTTTTCAATTGGAGTGTGTCTGTAGTTCTGTCACACAATCAACATCACCCTAGAACATGCTAATTCTGTGTGAATTCAGTTTCTGCTATTGGAAAAACCACAGGAATACACATTTTACTGTACATACACATGCTCTTATGCAAGCTAAGAGAAACACTGGGATGTGGCCCTTAGCAAATCCTAGAGTTAGCAGTATAGAGAGGACTGACCTTAAAGGGTAGAGGGGAAAGTACACAGAAATGACCTGTGTTCCTTGGGAAGGGACTCTGTGCTTCCTCCCCTGAAATTGTCAAATCCACCTGCTCCTTACACTCCACCAACACTTATGGTCCTATCTTTCCTTGAAGACATTTTCACTACAATGTTCCCTAGAGTGATCCCCAAAGGAAATTAATAAATTCTGACTAATGGCAATAAAAACAGTGGGCATCACTTCCTAAAGTCACCACCATTGATGAGTCCTTGTCCCCAAACCTGTGTTTCATTTATCCTTGCAATCTGTATCTTCAGTTAGCTTTCACAAAGATGCAAGCTTTTAGAAAGTTAATTAGAAACAATGAGAAGGAAAAATGTTATGATCATTGCCTTCATCATGCAGAATCCAGCTCTCAGGAAGTCAGAAAGGTACAAGTGCATGAGCAACTCAAGGACAAAGCCTTTTGAGTGGTAAGATGTGTGTACCCAAATACTATGGTAAGTGAGTAAGTGTGGCAGTTCAGGCAGTCTCTCATCTTTCTCCAAAGCAGCTGTGACCACCCTATTACAGTCCAACATTTCCCCTAGCACAGTTTTTTAAGCTAAGGCAAGGAGAAATGCCTTTTAAAAATTTACTCTATTTCCAGTCCTGAGCATTTACCAGCATTTATTATCTAGACTTCAGAGTTCCAGTTACTCATGGGGCTGATTTCGATGAAGTACTTCATTAATATTGAGTGAATAAAAATCACTATTTTGGAGAGGGAATAACATTCCCAAATCCGTGGGTCAGAATTTCAAATGGCTTGTCTTCTTTGATGTTTTAAACTGTGGCCTACAACAAGAAAATTCGGTATGGTATAAGAAACTCAGTCTTAAAAGAGCTCTTGGATATCAAATAAAATTGTACCTTCAAATAAATTGTTTCTCAGTCATAATTACAGGACTTAGTCAGTGTGAACTCTCTTATGTTTAATAAGAGCTGAGCTCCGGCTGAAACTCTTTTCGCATTCAGTACATTCATAAGGCTTCTCTCCCGTGTGAACCCTCTGATGTGTGATGAGGTTGGAGCTCTGGGTGAAACCTTTTCCACACTGCACACATTCATAAGGCTTCTCTCCTGTGTGGGTTCTCTGGTGTTTAATTAGATCTGACCTTTCACCAAAGCTTCGCCAACACTCATTGCACTCATAGGGCTTTTCTCCAGTGTGAATTTTCTGGTGTGTGATGAGATGAGAACTCCGGCTGAAGCTTTTCCCACAAGCGTTACATTCATATGGCTTTTCCCCAGTGTGGGTTCTCTGGTGCTGAACCAAGTGTGAGATGCGGCTGAAATTCTCTCCACATTCATTACAGTGGTAGGGCTTTTCTCCTGTGTGGGCTCTGCGATGGCGCACAAGGTCAGAGTTCTGACTGAAATTCTTCCCACACTCATCACACTTGTAGGGCCTCTCTCCTGTGTGGACTCGATAGTGTTTGATGAGATCAGATCTCTCACTGAAACCTCGCCCACATTCATTACACTCATAAGGCTTCTCACCTGTGTGGGTCCTCTGGTGTTGAGCTAGGTGAGAGCTCCGGCTGAAGCTTTTCCCACACTCCTCACACTCATAGGGTTTCTCCCCACTGTGGGTCCTTTGATGTTGGATTAGGTGAGATAGACGGCAGAAACTTTTCCCACATTCGTTACATTTGTGGGGCTTTTCTCCAGTATGGATTGTTTGATGCTGGATGAGATGAGAACTTCTTCCAAAACTTTTCCCACACTCATTACAGTCATAGGGTCTCTCTCCAGTGTGTGTTCTTTGATGCTGAATAAGGTGTGAGCTCCGACTGAAGCCCTTTCCACATTCATAACACTTATAGGGTCTGTCTCCAGTGTGGGTTTTCTGATGTCGATTAAGGTCTGAGATCTGACTGAAGGCCTTTCCACACTGAGAACATATATGATATTGAATACCTGTGTGAATTTCTTTGTGGACAAGCAGATCCGTGACTTGTTGGAGAGGATAGCTTACCCACTCTTCTGCTGTTAAATCTTCCCACTGTCTTTCTGATCTATCCCTGCTTTCAAAGGCCTCTTCACTTTCAGGATTTTCCTCTGTATTCCCAACAGGTCTTTCAGATGCAGTCCCAAGTTCTACATCTTCACTAATCTCTTGCTTTGGATTCACCTCGTTCTCACTCCTGATCTCAAAATCTGTAATAAAAAGTAAATAATAATAATACTGGTAAACACACAAAGAATTACCTACTACCAGTATGTACCAGGCATTATGTTAAGTTCTTTACATGAATTAGTACCTCAACTGCCCTGAATCAGGAATTATGATTTCCACTTTATAAATAAGAAACCTATACCCTAGCTGGTTTGGCTCAGTGGATAGAGCATCAACCTGGGGACTGAAGGGTCCCAGGTTCGATTCCAGCCAAAGGCACATGCCTGGGTTGTGGGCTCAATCCCCAGTAGGGGGCGTGCAGGAAGCAGCCAATCGATGATCCTCTCTCATCATTGATGTTTCTATCTATCTCTCTATCCCTCTCCCTTCCTCTCTAAAATCAATAAAAATATATTAAAAGAAAGAAAGAAAGAAACCTAAGGCTGAGAGAAATGACTTCCAAAAGGGCATACTCATTAAAAATTTTTTTAAAATAAAAACTAAAAACAAAAGGCCATACTCATAGATACAGAGAACAGACTGACAGCTGTCAGAGGGGAGAGGGTTTGGGAGACTAGGTGAAAAAGTGAGGAGGGGGGCTAGCCAGTTTGGGTTAGTGGCTAGAGTGTCAGCCTGCAGACTGATGAGTTACAGGTTTGATTCCGGTCAAGGGCACATGCCTGGGTTGCGGACTCAATCCCCTGTGAAGGTGTGGAGCAGGCAGCTGATCAAAGATTCTCTCTCATCATTGATGTTTCTATCTCTCTCCCTCTCCCATTCTCTCTGAAATCAATAAAAATATATAAAAAGAAAAAGAAAAAGGTGAGGAGGGGATTAAGCAATATAAACTGATAGTTGCAGAATCACCACAGAGATCCGAATTGCAGCATGGGGAATGTAGTCAATAATGTCGAGATAACTGGGTAGGCAGCCAGGTGGGTGCTTGGGTCAGCGAAAGGACCACTCTGTAGAGTGCATGGTTTTTTTGGCTACTTTGCTATACATCTGAAACTGCTGTGGGCCCTAACTGGCTTGGCTCAGTGGATAGAGCATCGGCCTGCGGACTGAAGGGTCCCAAGTTCAATTCCAGTCAAGAGCATGTACCTTGGTTGTGGGCACATCCCCAGTGGGGGGCATGCAGGAGGCAGCTGACTGATGTTTCTCTCTCATTGATGTTTCTAACTCTCTATCCCTCTCCCTTTCTCTCTGTAAAAAAAATCAATAAAATATTTTTTTAAAAAAAGACTGCTGTGGAATGGTATTGAATGTAAACTGTAGTTGGAAAAAAACACACAAAAGGTCATAAATGGTGGAGCCAGGATTCAAATTCAGATCTGTCTGATAAAAGTTCATACTCTGTATCAATACGGTTAATGGTTCTTTATAAAAACTGTATATATTCCTGGTTTCTCAAAAGGAGAAAACCAGCCTGGCCAGTGGGCTCAGTGGTTGAGCATCCACCTATGAACAAGGAGGTCACAGTTCGATTCCCTGTCAAGGCCCAGGCCCAAGTTGTAGACTCGATCCCCAGTAGGAGGCATGTAGGAGGAGCCAATCATGATTCTCTCTCATCATTGATGTTCCTATCTATCCCTCCCTTCCTCTCTGAAATCAATAAATATGTTGTTGTTGTTGTTTTTTTCAAAAAAGGAGAATACTGGAAACAGAGAATATAAGAGATTCTAAATTAGAATCTCTAAAAGCCAAGAACCTAGGTATTTTGTATGTGAAGGCATGTATGTATGTATATGTGCTTGTTCTTAACTAATCAAGCCTTCATCATTACCATTATATAAATTTACTAAGAACTTACTGGGTTAGCATGGATAAAATGAATTTTTATCTATTTCTTTCAAATCTTAGTTGACAGAAAAAGTGACTGCCAAATGCTACTTTCTAGGGGCCTTTTAATGAAAATGGGTGGGAAGATTGGAGAACGCAAAAAAAGATGCCTAGCTTAGAACATTCCTGGCATTGACTAAGCATAGTCTTCAAATGAGAATCAAAATATATAACCACTGTGTACAAAAAAAAACTTTCTACCAGACACTGCATTTTCCAAGTTGCATTTCTTAGTACATTCTTCAGAAAGAGGTAGGTATGCTGAGAGAAAAGAGTCCCAAGGATAAATTACTTTGGTAAATGATGCATGCAACAACATCTCAGAAATTCATATTGCCTGATAACATAATAAAGGCTCTAAAGAGTCTTGCGGTAAAGAGACCTTGTTAACATTATTTAACCCACTTATTTGGACAAATAATTTTTTGTGTGTGTGCTTCCATGTTTCCATCCCTAAGTGTTCCTGGGAATCAACCTTAGACATATAGATTCATATTTCTTTGAGATTCTCATTTCTAATTTTTGTTGCGTTAAGTGGAATATTTGGATAACAGACTGCAATAGATCTGGGTAAATAACTTAATTTCTAGTCACTTCCTAAAGGAAGGGTCCAAAAAACTTTGGATATCAGAGAAAGGCCAGTTAAAAAGAAAACATCTCACCTTGGCCAATGTGACCAGTGGTTAGAACACTGTCCTATGCACTGAAGGGTCCTGGGTTTGATTCCTGGTCAGTGCACATACCTAGGTTTTGAGTTCAATCCTTGGTCCTGATGCAAACAGAAGGCAACCAATCAATTTCTCTCTCGCACACTGATGTTTCTCTTTCTCTCTTTTTCTCTCTCTCATCAATGAAAAAAGCATATCCTTGGGTGATGATTAAAAAAAATAAGAAGAAAACCCCTTCTATTTGCCTTTTCTCTGGAAAAGGCTATAGGAATAAAAAATTAGTCCTCAATGAGTGGCAGATGACCTAGTGAACCATACATGGTTGCTAACTTATGTTGAGTCTAAACAGAAGACAACATGAGTCTAAAGCAGCGGTTCTCAACCTGTGGGTCGCGACCCCTTTGGCGGTTGAACGACGCTTTCACAGGGGTTGCTTAAGACCATCCTACATATCAGATATTTACATTACGATTCATAACAGTAGCAACATTACAGTTATGAAGTAGCAACAAAAATAATTTTATAGTTGGGTCACAACATGAGGAACTGTATTTAAAGGGCCAGAAGGTTGAGAACCACTGGTCTAAAGGCTATCCAGCTCAAGAATATACTGTTTGTTCTGGTTACACTCAGACCAAAGGATAATTAAGAGAAAAGACAGGTTTTGGCCAGTGTGGCTCAGTAGTAATCTCTATCCCTCTCCCTTTCTCTCTCTCTAAAAAAAATAAATAAAAACATATATTTTTTAAAAAGACAGGTTTGCAGACCATCAAAAAAACCCTAGACTTCTTGCCCACCCCAGGGTGGCTCAGTGGTTGAGCATCAACCTATGAACCAGAAGGTCACGGTTCGATCCCCAGTCAGGGCACATGCTCAGGTTGCGGTCTCAATCCCCAGCATGGGACTTGCAGGAGGCAACTGATCGATGATTCTCTCTCATCATTGATATTTCTGTCTCTCTCTCCCTCTCCGTTCCTCTCTGAAATAAAAAAATATATAATTTTAAAAAATTAGCTTTCCTCAATAATATAATTTGTAATCTAATTTAGTTCAGGATTTTCCTGGAACAACATTTGACATACTCAAAATCTATGATCAACTCTGAAACATCTCTAGACTAGCACCTACTCCAGATGAAGGACCTAAGGCAAAGCTAAGGCTCCAAAGTCAAAACAAACACAGAAAGGTGGCTTTTGCCCTCCCATTAATCCAGGTCAGAACCCCCTCATCTTCTGTTATGCCAAGGTTGCAGGTTTGATACCTGGACAGGGTACATACAAGAATCAACCAATGAATGCACAAATAAATGGAACAACAAATCGATGTCTGTCTCTCTCTTCCTCTCTCTCTCTAAAATCAATAAATACAATTTAAAAAATAGACAATATGACTCTGATGTTCCCACTCAAACATTTGTCTGAGGACTCAAGTCAATATGCAATTAAGTGCTTTAAAAATCAAACAACTTGCCCTAGCTTGTTTGGCTCAGTGGATAGAGCACTGGCCTGCAGACTGAAGGGCCCCAAGTTCGATTCCAGTGAAGGGCACATGCCCTGGGTTGTGGTCTCAATCCCCAGTAGGGGGCATACAGGAGGCAGCCCATCAATGATTCTCTCTCATCATTGATGTTTCTCTCTCTCCCCCTCTCCCTTCTTCTCTGAAATCAATAAAATATATACATATATATTTTAATCAAACGACTAGGTTGTGTTGAAAGAGCTAGTCTCAAAACATGGGGTGAAGAATGGTAGAGAATCCTTACTTACCTAATGAGACAACATTCCCATAATTCTCCTGCATAACATCCCTGTAAAGGTCCCTTTGCGTAGGGTCCAGAGGTCTCCATTCTTCCCGAGTGAGGTACATGGCCATATCTTCAAATGTCACCGGTGCCTGAAATCACACAATGCTTCCTCATTACTTGACATCTCATAGATTGGTACCAGTTTTTCTCCTTGAAATTACAGACACAGCTAGAATTATTGAGGAGGCAAAGGGTATTAAATCTGATTTATAGAGTCCAAAGAAGAAATGAACAAGCTAAAAAGAGATAGAGTAAAGAAGAGAGCAATTTACAAGCTAATTGCTCTGGTCCAATGGCCAGACAACCCTGCCCCACACGGGAATCCTGTACTTTGCTCAGAACACATCTAGCACCTACATGGCACCACAACTTTACTCACAATGTTCCTCTTTTCCTGGAATATCTTTCTCAAACCAGAAAAATCCTATTATTCTTTTTTTTTATTCCAGATGAGGAAAACCACTGACAAATATTTAAGTGACAACGGGTTTTAAGAAATAAAAAGAATGTAAGGAGCAAAATAAGTTATGAATGGAAGCACTGGCCCTCCTCCTCCAGGTATCCTACTATTCTTTTAGGTCCTGTTCCAGTTCCAACTATTCTTCGGTGCCCCCCATCCCTCTGCTTGGCTCCACTCCTCCCTCGGACCCCTCAGATAGAATTCATCACTCCCACGCCTTCCTTCTCACACCAAGCGCTTCGTTCCTACAGCAAATGGAGCTCTTATCACGTTGTATCACGGTTAACCGGATGCATCTGTCTCCCTATAGATTGTGAGCAGGCGGGAGAGCCCGTTTCATCCATCCACCTTTTGTCTCCCCGGCATTTAAAGACATGCAGCAGGTGTTCAATAAATGCTTGTTTGTGGCTAAACCGGTCTGGGTTCCTGGAGGCACAATACCGAAGCGAGCTAATTACTATTTTCCAGGGAATTTCCCACAGGGATTTGCAAAGAAACGCCGGGACCAGGTGGATAAGCAGAGGCAGGGTCCGCGAAGCCACCCCCGGCTTACCTGGGACCCAGCCATGAGCAGGGTGGCTGCCATCTCGGGCTCAAGGATTCGCCTCCCAGGAGAAAGAGCAGGAAAAGCAGCTAGCAGACAGCACTAAAGGAGGCGAAAAGCAGGGCGTGAGGCACAGAACACAGGCCCTGCCCACTCCCCAGGGCTGGAGTTCTGGCCGCCAGGCGGCTAGGGAGGGCCCTGGACCCGGGCAGTGTCACTCTCCTCCTTGACCCTCGAGCGCGACCCGCCCTCCGTGTCTCCGCCACCACGGGGTGGAGGCAATGCCGGGATTTAGCAGGACAGGACAGCTCCCTGGCTCCGTCCCTCCCGCCGGCGCTCAAGCCGCTGCAGTCTCTTCTCCAGGATGAGGACTTTCCGGCAGCTACCTCAGCCAATCAGCGAGCGAAGCTCGAAAAACGCTCTGCCAATTACAAGCCGAATACTAGGCCCGCCTCTTTTAACAAGGCTGGACACCTCCATCGCGCCTGCGCCTGCCCCGGCGGCCTGCCGGGAGTTTGAGTTCCATTCTGGCGTACAAAGGCCACCCAAGGGCCAAAAGCCAAGGAGGGAAAAGAACAAAAGGGTGAAGGAAGGACCGCGTTCTCCTACTCAGGACAGAGTATCTTCTGCTTTCTTCTGTCGGAGACAACAGCCCGATTAAGCAAGGGAAGTTGCCCTGCTTCTCCTCACGTCCCTAGAAGCTTATCGTGGATCGGACCTTAATTGCGACGTCTGGCCTAATTTTGGTGCTGGCCTGTGTTGGGTTCCGCTCGGATTAACACTCATCTGACAGCCGGGCCTGAGAGGAAAGAGGCAGCCGCCCACTCCCCGGGGAAGATTCAGCGGCCTCGCTGGAACTTTGAGCTCCGCCCACGCACTACATGTCCCAGCAGCGCCTGCGGCCTTCGCACCCTGCTACACAGACTACAACTTCCAAGAGGCCCCGCGCCGCCGGGGAGCTAGCGAGTGTGGTCGGTGGCTGGGACAGGCGGTGTCCAAGCCCCATCGCTATTAACCCTGTAGGGGAGTCTGACTGCGTCCTTCCAAAGAGGGCGCCCCTGAGGGGCGGGCAGAGTTGTGGCTGGCAGAGCGGGAAGCCAAAATGCTGAGCGAATGTGGGGGATAGGGCGTGTAAAGGGAGCGAGCCAGGCGCCAGCGCTGGGCAGAACTGACCTTATCGTTCCGAGGGCTGCTCTGCTCAAAGGTTTCCTGGCCGCCTTTGACACGGACCGGCCCCTGAGGGCCTGAGCCGGGCGGGCACTCCACATGTTAGCATTCTCTGATCGCTGAAGATAGGAAGCCGAAAACCCGAGCTGGGAACGAGCAGACTTACCTCCTGGCCCGCGAAAGGTCCACTAGACCGCCGGCTCCAAGATCCACGAGCCCCCAAACAGATTCCAAATCGGCAGGCAGCGTTCTTTGGAGACTTCAGGCGTTCGGGAAGGTTCTAGAAATCACGACTGGCAGATTTCCGGATTATCTCAGACCTGCAGGTAGATCTCGAATCCGCAGGCTTGCAGGCAAAGCCCAGAGATCCCAAAGACTCGCACAGATGCCGAGACCTCAGACGCTCAGGCATTCAGGAACCACAGGCTCACAGGCAGGTCCCTCAGAGACCACAGGAGCTGGCCAAGAAACACCAGCAGCAGCTAGGCTGCATGCAGCTGGAGTTCTTCCGAACGGAAGGACTGGCCCCCTTCCCCTTCCCCAGCCAGGATGAGAAAATTAGACAATGGAAGCCCAGCACGGGGAAAAGCAGGCATTCTGCGTGGAGAAGCGCTCTGAGCTCGCTGTAGCCTTGGAGAGGGAAGTGATGGAAAAAGAATATAGCAGCTTATTAGGGACTCCCACCCTCTTCAAGTTATAAATATCCCCAGAACCTTGGCCACGTGCCCAGAAGCCTGTTGTCTCTAACTGTACAGGAGACTTCTCTGCCTGCGCTGGGAAAGGGGCTTTTCTTTTGTTTTGCAGATACATCTACCCACCGAGTGACTTGAATTTTTTTTCCTCGAACATGACTCCAGGCTCTGCTTTTATTAGTGAGTGTCCTGTTCCCACCGCCCAGTGATTTATGGTTAAATTACTCAAGTGTCTGAAAAGAACTAGGACTCTACCCAGCCATGAGGCAGACTCTCCCACTCCACACCCCCAACTGTGCGGCGAGGAATTCTTTAGATACCACAAAATCGTACCATCTTACCCCACCTAAAATTGTTATGGGTACGCCACACACACAAAAAGTCTTTAAAAAATGGAATCACAGAGGGTCCCCGAAAGGCAGTCAAGGTCAGACAGACCTGGGTTGAAATCCAGGCTGTATATCCTTTGAAAAGTCATTTACTCTTCCCAGGCCCATTTCTCTTTCTGTAAAATGGGGTAATCACACCCAAGGTGATGGTGAGCACTGAGATGACTTAAAGTGGGCACTCAGATGACAGCTGTGGGTGCAGGGAAGACTTCCAGAAAGTGAGCACTTTCTGTGGGCATTTTCATTGGCTCAGAAAAACCTGGGACGTCAGAGTGGCTCCATAGCTGTGAGGATCGGCTGGTGACCTTATTCTCACATAATGTTTCTGCTGGAAATCCAGAGGGAACTCCAAGTTGGACCAGTTTGGTGGGTTCAGACAAATTGGTGAATTGAGCCCAGCAGAGCAGAGATATTTGGAGCTGCCAGGAATCCAGCAAGTTAAGGCCTCACCCTTAGGAAAAACCTCTGGGTCAAGGGAGATGGGTTCATTCTTTGGCTGACTACTGTAATTGCAGGTTTCTAACTGGGCCTAAGGTGAGGTGAGCTGGGCGCCCAAGCCCCTCAGCCCAGCAGGGCTCCCTTTTCATCCCTTCTCTGACAGATTGCTTTGTAAACTTCCTTAGGCCTTTTCTTCCCCCTTGCTCCAGTGCTGTAAACCCTTCTTTGTCCTCTGCTGTTTCTTTTATTCCTAGGCCTGGCTGGGGGCAGGGCGACTCTCTAAACCCTGCTTGGCTGCCTGCCTCCTTCTATGAGTAAGTGCTTTTCTCTTTCTTCACCTGGGACCCTCCAGAGGGTGGAGGAGAGAGGCTGAGAGAGATGGAAGGTTGACTTCTTTTGGTGCCCCTGGGGTAGGGGCGGTGGGCGTGGGGGCGGGGGGAGTGGAACAGGGGGAGGAAAGAAAGTGGGTGAGGGGCTTCCTGTTGCAGCCTTCAGCGGGACTCTGAGGGTTGGGTCACTGGAGGAGGAAGTGACTTCCTGCCACATTGTTCAGGACTTCATTGTTTCTCAGGAATATCGTATGTGGGTTTTCAATAACCAATTCGGAAAACTGTATGTGTCCCATCACTTAGCAAACAGTGAGCACCTACTGTGTGCAGAGGCAGCAGCACAGCCTATCACTGGGGGAAGGGTCCAGGAGAACTATTTGTCCAGGATCTCCAGATGGAGTTATAGGTTGTCAGATCCACTGACCAGTTTAATCAAAGACCCTCCTAGTATTTCTTTAAGCTTGTTTCTTATTAATAGACCACAGTGCCTATGGAGCACTGTAAGTTATTATGTTTTAATAAATCGATAATTGTGAACCGCACAATTATGTTGTAATTTTTTGTATTAGAAGCATTAATGTGTTAAACATTGAAAAATATGCCTTAATATTTGTGATCTTGTTTTGTCATTTCTTCATTTTCAAATATACCAGTACTATATATATTTTAAAAAATGAAGTAACCTGGGCTTCTCTCTAGACCCTGCTAGGAGCAGAGATGAAGCCTCAACACAGCCGAAGGAGTTGGGGACATGGGGACACACTGACTTCAGTCCAACTGCTGTAGTCTATGAATGATGAGCTAGCTAGTCTGCACCAAGAAGAGGGATGCACTCACTGCTGGGGGGCATGGGAGGAGGCTTCACAGAGGAGATGACATCTGAGCTGGCTAGCGAAGACTGTAGGAATCTTAGAGGTGGCGAACAAGGGGAGGGACAGCGCTTTCCTGTCTTCAAGAACAGCATGTGCGAAGTCATGGAGGCATGAAAGGACAGAGGGTGTTCAGAACGGTCAGGATTGGGTAGGCTGGAAGGAAGAGTGTGGGGGTGGAGTGGCAGGGGAAGGGAACACAGCAGGGACAGTCTCTTATGTCCCCTTGCCCGCTGCCTGTTTGTCTCTGCCTTTGGCTGTGGATCAGCAAAAGCTGGTGGTGAGGTGCGGGTGGGGGGGCGGCTGGGACTGGCCTGGGGCGAGAAGAGCAGATGGACCCTGTAGGAAGAGGGGGGAGCGCAGAGGATTGGGAAGCTCTTTATGACCTTTGTGCATTTCAGCTGGTTTTCTCCTGAGAGAATCAACATTGTCAAAAAATGTAAACAATTGCATTAAAAATGTAATGTTTAGACTACTTAAAGGCATCGAATAGGCCCATACTCACCAAGCATGTTAGCTGAGTCTATTTTGTACCAGACACTGCTGGGAGATAGGACACTCCCTCACACAATGACTGCAGGGCTGTTGTGATTAAATTTGAGAGGGCCCAACAGGTAGCTCAATTGGTTAGAGCAGGTTTGATCTGTGGTCAGGACACATTCAAGAAGCAACCAATGAATGCATAAAGATGTGGAATAGCCCTAGCCAGTTTGGCTCAGTGGTTAGGGTGTTGGCCCAAGGACTGAAGGGTCCCAGGTTCCATTCTGGTCAAGGGCTCCATCCCCGGCCCAACTGGGACACGTGCAGGAGGCAACCGATCGATGTGTCGTGAGAATGGCTGCAAAAACAGGAGCACAGAGGAGTGTCTTGGTTCACAGTGGCCATCATTGCTATGGGGAAAGTAAAATGCATCATGCGCTGTGAGGTTAAGCCATATTTCAAATTGGCTCAGGATGTGAATAGGGGCCTGGGTTCACGTTCAGATTCTGTCTCCTGGAAGCAAATTACTCTCTGAACCTTGGTTTTCTCCGTGTGTGAAAAGTGTATAGTAATAATACAATTCATAGAGACAGAAGGTAGAATAGTGCTTGCCAGGGGCTGGGGGAAGAGGAAATGGGGAATTGTTTAATACACATAAGAGGTTCAGTTTTGCAGGATGAAAAGAGTTCTGGAGATTGGCTGGACAACAATGTGAATGTACTTAACTCTACTGAACTGTATGTGCCCTTAAAAATGGTTAAGATGGTAAGTTGTATGTTATGGATCTTTCACAATTTAAAACAACCAAGAGCATAATAGCCCTGGCCAGTGTGGCTCAGTTGGTTGGGCGTCATCCCCTGCACCTAAAGGTTGCTGGGTCAGTTCTCTGTCGTGGCATATGCTCAGGTTACAGGTTCGATCCCAGGCAGCTGATCGATGACATTATTAAATTGTAATTGCTATTAAAAAGTAGTCGCTATTTTGTTCTGCTTTTGTCTTCTAGACATTTAGATGGAAGATTCAATAATGCAGAGAAAAATCTGGATATCTCAACCTTTTTAAAAAAAAAATTTCTTTATTGATTTCAGAGAGGAAGGGAGGAGAGAGAGAGAGAAACATCAATGATGAGAGAGAATCATTGATCGTCTGCCTCCTGCACACCCACTACTGGGGATGTGCCCGCAACCCAGGCATGTGCCCTTGGCCGGAATCAAACCCGGGACCCATCGGTCCGCAGGCTGACGCTCTATCCACTGAGCCAAGCCGGCCAGGGCAGGATATCTCAACCCTTATCACTCAGTGTGGACCAGTGGTGTGGGCATCACCTGGGAGCCTATTGGAAATGAAAAATCTCGGGCCCCACCCCAGACACAGTCCCCGGGGATTCCCACCCATGTTAAAGTGTAGGAGCCCCTGGATAGCTAAGCAACACCCCTCCACGCTTCTGTAGGGAATATCGTACCTCAGGCATGTATCACATCCCGTCTGGTACGGGAGCCTGTGCCTATGATTTCTTTCCAGGCTGGGAACTCCTGGGAGGTATACGCCAAGCACTGTGCATGGCCCTGGATCTCTCATTGCATTGAGCACAATGACAGGAAGCAGAGACCTGGGTTTCAGTCCTGATCCTGCCATTTACGGGCTGTGTATATTGTGTCTTCTGCGAGAGGATTCTCACGCCTTCCAAAGGCCCCGCCCCGAATCTGGCTGCTGGAACTGAAGATGGCGGTAGGTTTCTAGTTTATTCCCAGGCTTCATGTAGGAGGAGGCACTTGGCGGGGGGAAGGAGGAAGGTGATAACCAGCTCAGAGTGGCTGATGCCCAGGGCATATAAAGAACTTGGGCTGAAGTTACTCAGAACAGCTGCCCTAAGGCTGTACCAAGGCAGATGGAGACCCAGCGGCCTCTCTCAGTCACCCTCTGAGGTCGGCGCTGGTACCACTCCTGTTTTCACAGGTAAGGAAACAGCCCCGAGAGGGGAAGTGACTTGCCCAGGCGTTCACAGGCTCCTGCACTGATGCCCAAGGCATATAAAGAACTTGGGCTGAAGTTACTCAGAACAGCTGCCCTAAGGCTGTACCAAGGCAGATGGAGACCCAGCGGCCTCTCTCAGTCACCCTCTGAGGTCGGCGCTGGTACCACTCCTGTTTTCACAGGTAAGGAAACAGCCCCGAGAGGGGAAGTGACTTGCCCAAGCGTTCACAGGCTCCTGTCAGTCATTTTAGGAAACACAGAGCCCAGGAGGCTCAGGCTGGGGCTGCTGGAAGGCCAGGGACAGAGACTTAGAGTCAGGACAGGCCTACCTGACCTGCTCCCCAGGCTTTTCCAGAAGATTCCAGCTTTGCCTAAGGTTCCCATCGGCGTAAAAAGCAAGCCGCTGTCATCGTGGGAGAAGCCTGATAAGGACCCTCCCTGCAGACTTCCTCCGAAGCGGGGGCCACAGATGGAGCTGTGAGGAGGTGGGGATAGGGAGGATTCTGTACTCTTCAGGCAGAAGGACTCAGTTCAAGATGATCTGCTCCCTGGTTCAAAGGCCCCCAAAGCCAGCTATGAACAGGGAATAGCAGAGTTTGGGAAAAGATGCAGAGCAGGGAAGAAATCTCCCACATGGAGTGGAATCATGGCTGCCTGAGCCAAATCGTGTGCCAAGTGTTCTCGTGTGTGACTCTGGGGTGGGGTGGGGTAAGACTTGCATCAGTCTGTTATTTTATTTTTCAATTCAGCAAAGGCTGGGAGGTTGGGATGTGAGGGAAGGGACGCAGAGCAAAGGTCTGCCGCGCGTCAAAGATTTGACACCCGGGTCTCTGATTTCTACAAGAGGTTTGTGAACACAGACTCTTCGCATGGTATCCCAATTGGGTTCCCTCTATTAGCCAAT